GGGTCGAGCTGTGGGGTCGGGTTATAGGGTTGGGCTATAGGGTCGGGCTATAGGGTCGGGCTATAGGATCAGGTTATGGGGTCGGGCTATGGGGTCGGGCTATGGGGTCGGGCTATAGGGTCGGGCTGTGGGGTCGGGTTATAGGGTCAGGCTATGGGATCCGGTTATGGGGTCAGGCTCTGGGGTCGGGCTATAGGGTTGGGCTATAGGGTCGGGCTATGGGGTGAAGCGGTGTCGGTGCCGTCCGTGCGCAGGTGAAATCGGGGCAGTTTATCACCAATCGAGCTCCGTCTCTCTTTAACCTCCCCATCCTCCTCCTTGGCCACCTCGGGGGGACGGGGACGGGGACAGGGACAGGGACAGGGCAGGGGTTCGGTGCCAGGACGGCACCGACCCGGCGGGCGATGGGAGCGGCTGCGGCCGCGTCCCTGGGGGCTCTGCGGGGAAGGAGAAAGCGCATCCGCGGGGATTCTCTGGTGCAGAAAACGAACAATTCCCTGGCAAAGCCTGCGTGGAGAAGAGACTCGGCCTTTCCCACCTCCAGGAGGAGGGGGAGCACGGGCAGGGCAGGGGGGGCAGCACGGGCTCCGCTTTCTGCTCTAACCAAATCCTTGTTTGTTTTACAGGTCTGGGTGACGCCTGGGGACAGCCCAGCAGGGTCGGGCCCTTGGATAACGTGGCCATGGAGCTCGGGTCCCACTTGCTCCAGGTAGTGAGCGCTTCTCATGGAAAACCCGGGGCTGAGGCTTTCTTCCTCCTCCTCTTCCTCCTCCTCCTCCTCCTCCTCCTCCTCCTCCTCCTCACCCCCCCACCCCGACAGGAGCCTTCATCTCATTCCCTCGCCGGGCTGGGAGAGCAGAAAATCGGATTCACCCAACCGCTTATATTGCAATTATTTCATTTTTTTTCCCCCTGCCTTTGATAATGGCAGAAGAGATCGGCGCTCATCCCCTCTGTCCCAGCCCTAAAAACTTGAACCAGAAGTGCCGGGGATGTCCCCAGGAAAGCGGAGGGGACTCGGGAGGGGACACCTGGGAGGGGAGGACACCTGGATTGGATGTCCCGGGGACTTTAGCACCTGGAAATTCCGCTGTTCACAATCCCGGTGATCTGCTCTGCAATTCCTCTGAATTCTGAGTTTAAGAAGCAGTAGCCGAGGCGAGCGGCTTCTACTTCCTAAAATTTTTTTCCCCTCCAGCAGGAGGGAAAAAAAATTGCTTTTAACTCAATTTTTTAAATTTTATTTTTAATATGTGAACTTCACGTTTTCTCCCCCGATTTTAAAGAGCCATTAAACCGGAATCCTTTACCAGGCGAGTTTATTGCGGGTGGTGAATTCCTGATCTCAGAGCTGGGGTTGTTTTCACTGCTTCGCTCTGCTGGGGATAGAAACCTGATCAGAAAAATCATAATTTTCATCAGAAAATCCCCACGACCACGGTGCCACCGGCCCCGACCTTTGCAATGACGAGCGCAATTATTTATTTGCTACCAAAAAGCATCAGCCGCTCTCCTGCGGGGAAAAAATGAGATTTTTGGGAGGCACTGACAACATCCAGGCAATGACAGAGCTCAAAATTATCTCCTGGGGAGGCATTTGCAGCCGTGGAAATTTTATTTTAAGTAGCTGCTGTCCTCTCAGCTGTTCCAGAGTCACGAGTCCACCTGGAAATGCTGACCTAGTTCTGTGTAATAATCTGCATGATCATTTAATGAATATATTAAGATACAGTCCCAATTGTATAAATCATTGTTGTGACCACTCCTCCTGGCTGTTTCCCGTTTTGTCTGGCATTAATTGAATGCCAGGCAAATGATTGAATTTAATTTACACCAAATTAATTGAATTTACACCGAATTAATTGCTGACCACCTGTAACTCTCATTTTACAGCTCAGTTATTTCTGAATGACGAATGCTGAAGGTTTTAATAAACCCACATTTACTGCAAACCTTTTTTTTTTTTTTTTTAAGGGTTTTTAGACTGAAATTTTCCATGTGAATTTTCAGCTTCAACGTGCTTTCCTGTACATTAAACTTTGGGATGTGCTGCAGTAACAGGAGCATTGACCCAAGTTTATTAATGATACATTAATAATGATACATTAATGATATAATTAATACATTAATGATACAGGCTAAAGCAATTACAAGATAACAGTGTTTAAAGCAAAGTTGTGGCTAAAACTGCAGTAAATTATTTCCTGTTCTAATATTTATACGATATTTAATTTATGTTTTAAAAAAAAGGCATAGAATGATCTGATTTCAATTATATGCTGTAGAGTCATTAGTAGGCCAGAGAATAATTTGGAATATTTTCTTATTGGGGTGGCACTAGAGGTGCATGAAATGGGCAGGATTTTATTGCTTCTCTTCCAGTTCAGTGACTTTAAATGGATTAAACCAGGTGGTTGCTTTACCTATGTACTGTAAAAATGATTTTTCACTTCCAAATTAATTTTCCAGTGGTGTTCACATGTGTGAATATTCACTGATATTCACATGCCATGTGTTGATCAAAGCTTTCCACGCTGGGTAGAGACAATGAAGACTTTTTGCTGTCATCTACTTTTGAAAAAATGCCTGAAATTGGGCACTGAAAAATCGAGGGCCCCCTCAAACTGAGAGGTTTTGTGTCCAAATCATGGCCAGTTTTGGCTGAGCTTTACCACAGTATTTCTTTTTTTCCCCCCCTCATATAAATAATATCTGACTAAATCAAACTTCAGTTTTTACTGACAGAAGCAATATTGGCCTCCCAGCCAATATCCTGTCAAGGAGAATTTGTAGGATTGCATCTCAAGTTTGCATTGCTTGAGGTTTACAGACAGCAAGGATAAAACTTTATCACACTCATAGAGAGATATTTGTGCTTAGCAAGTTTTGGATGTTGACTTTTTCTGCTTTCTTTTTGGAAGTTCACATTGTTCCAGAGCAGAGAGCTCCCTGTTAAAAAAAAAAAAAAAATCTATTCTTGAAAATGCAGCCAAATTTAAACATTGCTGGTGGTGCCATTAAATAAATTGCAAATAAGCAGTGAGCTGGGTCTGCCAATTATGCCATAAAAAATGGCTCACCCAGGGCCCCTGAGCACCACAGAGCTCAGGATTTGGGCTAAGCACTAAAAAAAAAAAAAAAAGCCTGAATCAACAGCAGAATATTCCCTGAAAGTGCAGCAGCAAAGCTGCATCTGCAGGGGAATGAGGTTGATTTCACAACATCCCTGAGTTTAAAGGAACAAAATCAAATAAAACTTTCTACTCCTTAAATTTTGCTGTTTGCTGCTGCTGAAGTCAGAAATCATCCCCCTAAATATTTTTTTTTTTTAATTGTAAAGGGTTTAAACAGATTTCTTGCTTCTTACCCTGTGCATTTCTCTTTATTTCAGACTTTGGATGGCTTTGTTTTCGTCGTGGCATCCGATGGCAAAATAATGTACATTTCTGAGACAGCATCTGTGCACCTTGGCCTGTCCCAGGTACAGCATAATCAAAATAAAACTGCTAAATACAGATTTGGACCCTCACACTGCTGCCTTGCCTTTATATTAAGTTTTTTTTTTTTCTTTTTCTTTATTTTTTTTCCCCCAAGGCTGTTTGAAGCTTTTTTTTTCTCCATGAAAACAGCTTTGGTAAAATACTCAAATTTCCTTTCCTTGCCACCACATCAGCCTGTCTTTATATCTGTTCTTGTTCATTGTATTTTACTCCTCATTACGTTTCAGAAGGGCCATAAATAATATGATATTGCAAATTGCAGAAACCCAAGCGTGGTAAGGCAATAGGGCTGAAATAAAGCTCAGAATTCGAGTCTGGGAGTCTTAGATTGTGTCAGATATTGAGGCTGCCTATGAAAGGGAGAGGAAATCTGATGTGGAACAGGAGTTTTATGGTAAATGTGCTGGAGGAGGAGGAAAAAAAAATTTAAAAAAAAAAAAAAAAAAAAAAAAAAAAAGAGGAAAAGGGGGGCAGATTTATGAGTGTTCACATGGAATTCAGGGTAGTTTTTCCTGAGTTTTTCCAGCTCAGTGGTCTTTTCAGTAAAGCGTTTTATATGGTTGTGATAGAACTCATAAAACTCGGTTTACTACTGTTCTGCACCAGAACTATGAGGGGGTTTTATGTTTTTTTTTTTCCTCTTAGGTGGACATTTCTAATTTTTTTTTTTTTTGCCTTCTTGGGATAGGCACAAGGGCAAAGAGCCTGAATTTATTGTAGAAGGTGACTTTCCATACCTTTGTCTGTACCTGAAATTCACTGGCAGCACCTGACCTAAAGTTTCCCCAAAGTCCCATTAAAAAATTCCTCATTAATTTCAGCAGGCCCTGGATGAGACTTGCAAGAAACTGAGGTGTTCAGTTGTGTGTCAAACATTTATAAATAAATAAATGAATAAATAAATTGAAATAAAGGCTAAACAGCAGAGGGGAGAAGAATGAGGAGATGAAGGTGAGAGGAGAATATTCTGAAAATATCTGGTTAATTTATCCTGTGGCTGTTTCAATAAACAGAGAGGGGGGCTTTAATAGTGGGGATTATCTGTATACATTACTTTTTGTAGTAATCAATATTTTTAATTGAAAAAAAAATTTGTGGAGTTCTTTGGGTGTGTGTTTATAACACATATTAGTTAGATTAGATTATATTATATATATCAGTTATATTAGAGTTAGTGGCTATGAGAGAAAATAGAATTCAAGAGGTAGAGAAAACAAGAATATAAACCCATAAAAACCATTTTTAACCCCCTGTTTCTCTAGTATCTTTAGAAAAAAATAATTTTGGGAATAAATAGCCACCATAAATAAATTTTAACCTGCTGATTTTAAAAACATGAGCAGGAAACATTCTCAGTTCAGTTTGTTCAGTTCACTTTGTTATGGTACAGTTTTAATTGTCTCATACCATTTAATTCAGGTTCAAATTCCTTTAAATCTTGCTTTGCTTGAAAATAAACTTCCCTACAGAAGGGCCACGTTTTCTACTCGTTTTTCAATCTGGGTTTCTCTCACTTTGAGTTTTTTGCAAGGATCCAGGATTTCCCTTTCTAAAATGCATCCATTTAATCAGTGCCATTATCCCAAAGCACTGAGCATCCCCATCCATCTGTCCTGTGGCTTTTGCTCCCTGATTTTCCAGGTTTTGCCCAGAAATTGTTCTTTTGGAGGAATGTCAAGCCACCAGATCTCGTAGGTCACAGTATTACCCAGTTATTTGGAGAAATTAAAGAATTATGGGATCAATGGGACACTAAACAGACTTTAGGAACTTTTAAGGAAGATGAGACTGGCAGTGTCACACAAATTTTAATCTGATTTTAATTTTAATCCTCCTGGTCATCTGCACTGACTGAATTCCACGTGCCTGGAAATATCTGTAAATTCTGAGGGCAAGAGGTGCTGAGGAAAATCAGAAGGTTTGCTCAAGTCGCTTTTTGAAGACAGCTTAATCAGAAAAATCCCAAACCTTTCACTTCCAGCAGAGGTTTGAAATAACTGAGCTTGAAAGTTGTGGGATTTGAAATTTAAGGGACTCTCAAAACACAAAAATTCACAATGCACAGGGGTTTATTTATAAATAAGACCCTCAGCTAACAGCTCATCCAGTCTGTTCTTGCTCTGCCCCAATATTCTATTTTTGAAGGGATAATTTTGCTTTAAGCAGCACCAGCACTAATATTGGGCTGCTCCCACCCCCCAGGATATGAATCCATTTAACCCTGGGATATTCCTGGCAGCTCCCAGAAAGCCTCCAAAGGATTTCTTGTTCCCACTCCTCTGGAAATCCCTGGGATTTCTGCCACTGACATCAACAAGGATGGGATTGGGCAGGAGAAGCAAATTCACCCGGCCATAATTCCACATTTTATTTCCAACAAGTGCCCTTAGAGAAATGCAGCCAATACAAGCTGAGAGCAGAGTGATGGTGATTGTAAAACATCTTTAGAGTGGGCACAGAAAGGCCTTTTTATGAAATAATTTGACAATTATCTAGCCCACACATCAATTCCCAGTTCGAGTGCCATTTGTTTAAAGATAGATGTTTAAACGAAATTAAAAGGCCATTTTAAAAATAATTTTGCAGGCTATATTTGGAGGCTTGTTACAGTGGCCTTTCTCTTCTGAATTTCATTTCAGCAGGGAGAAATTGGAGCTTGAGAAAAAACTGGGCTGGCTAAACCAGTCCCAAATTTCAAACCAGCATTAAGGATTGTTTTTAGGCACGACTTCTTTGCCTCAGAAACAAAGGTTCTGAAAAATCCACATCTTCATTTGTGGCTTTGGAGTTTGATTTGCTCCCAGCTGGAGCAGGAAAATTTGTAAATTTTGCTGTGGGACCACCCCCACCTCCTCATCCTCATCCTCATCCTCATCCTCATCCTCATCCTCATCCTCATCCTCCTCCTCCTCCTCATCCTCATCCTCATCCTCATCCTCATCCTCATCCTCCTCCTCATCCTCATCCTCATCCCAGCTGGCCCCAGCCCAGGGATGAACTGACTTGGACAATTTCTTGCCTCTTTTTTTTTTTTTTTTTTTTTTCCATGGATAACAAACAGCTTCAAATTCCCCAAATATTTTTTTTTCCCCCCTCAGAGTCCAAAGGCACAAAGAAGAGAGGAAAATCCTCTCGTGAAACAATGGGGAAAGACAAATTTTTATTTAATTTGAATGTCTGGAGCTTATCCCGGCAGTTTTTTGGATCCATGAGGGAGCCAGGCTTATCTTCGACTTTTGATAAATCTTGAAATATTTAACCACAAATATCTGAACTTTTCCAGGAGTTTCTTTTGCTTTCATCCAATGAGTCTATGAGAGGCAAAATATGCAATTATTTGCTCTGGAATCCATCTACTTATCCCTGTGTGTTTATTAAAAATCAATCCTTGGCTGGAAAAAAAAAAAAAATCTGAGTTCCTCATAAACCCCTGTTAGTAGGAAATGCTGATATTTGGTATTTACAGCTATTAAAAACTGCATCAAGGAAGCTGCTTTAATAACCTGAGGTATAGGGTTTTAGCTTTAGGAATTGAACTGCATAATTTATATATTTTTAAAGTTTTCAGGGTTTCTTGGTAGGCTTTAAAAGAACCTGAATGTTCCCTGCCTCGTGGGGGGTGAGATTCCAAATTATGGATCCATATTTTGGTTATTGACCCTGGCTTAGCCCCCTTCTCTTTGCTGGTGGTTTTATGTTTTAAAGTCAATTTTTAAAGTCACTTTTGGGGTCACTGTTGTACCTTTACCTCCTGCTGGTTTTCCTGGGGTTGCAAGTAAACCTATCAGAATAAAAATCTTTTCTGCATTTATAACAAGGAAAACCAGTCATTATTTCAGAAAGAATTTTAGGCTTGAATTTTAGACATAAACCCTGGGACAAAAATGAAATTTTGGATAAAAATGTGACCTTTGAGCCTTTGAATCCTGTGGAAAAATGTGCATTTCCACGAGGAATCATTTTAAAATTGGTGATGAGTTTGGAAAAAGCAAGAGACATCCATGAGTTACACTTTTTAAGAGAAAACATCAACTACAGTTGATGGGGTTGGTCAGCATGATTGGGGGTTTTATGTCAGAAAGTCCCTAAATTGAAGGGAGAGATCATTTATACACAGCTATCCATTAATTTATTATTTTTTTTTAATTTTGGAAGATAAATTCTCTGATAAAAATGCTTTCATTCCAAGCAAAAAACATTCAAGGGTAAAAAAGAAATCACTCTTAGCCAAATATAAAAAAATGAGCAGAGGGTTGTGAGTGATGGATGCTCCTTTCGGTTTGAACACTGAATTTTGTCATGCTCTGAAAACGAAATGTCCCTCAGCAGAAGAAAGTTTAGATTTTTTTTTAAATGCAGGTGATCAGGATATTTGGGAAGATACCCATGGACACTTGCAGGATGTTTGTCCCCTTGTAATTATAAAGAAACAGAAGCATTTCCAGGCATGACTCCCAGTGAGATTTTGAGTTTTCCTTCCTCTCTGACAAAAAACTTAGGATGTGGAATATTCCTGCAGCAAGACCCCACCTGATCCTGGCCTGAAAAGGAGAACCCAGTGCTTTTAAATGGCAACCCTTAGAGAAAATTCTGTAAATGAAGCAAAGTAAATAATCTCCTTCCCCATTCCATCTTTCCATT